CGGAGAAGTATACCGCACAAGTCCGGAAGCAACGGCGGACCTGGATAGAGACACTCGTTTAAGCTGGGTGCGGAAGTTGAAGCTCTTGCTGAAGCATCGTACACTACACGAAGTTTCGTAGTAGTGTGGCCAGACTTGACGACACAGTGATGGGGCAGATAGTGCCGAATGGCAAAGCACTTGGGTTTGTCGACGGGGATGTCTTCGATGACGCCCGCGGTAAGTTGATCTGCAAGGACTTTGTTATACGCCTGCAAGACATCTGGCTTTCCCTGCAGTTTATGCATGAGAGAACGAAGACGACCGAAAGCTAGGTGATAGTTTTCAGGTAGCTCCGGTCGACCCGGGCGCCAAGGCCAAGAGACAACGTAACGACCACAGTCAACAGACACGGATTGACGGAACTGGTCTAAGACTTGAGTGTCGCTACTGGAAGTTGTGACCGTGCCAATCTCTTCAAGATTCCAAAACCGACTGATGTCAATCTCGGGCTGTGCGTCACATGAGAGGACCAAAGGACTACTCGGCTGAGTGGTCTGGCAAGAGACTGGACCTGTGCGGATGAATCCGACAATAGACTGAAGAAGGATCATACCGTCGCCTAGGCGGAGATGCTGATCACCTACTATGTCATAATAATGATCAAGACCAATCAGAATATCGATAGGTAAGTGTGATGCGTCAGATAGAGGCTCTGCTAGAGTAAGGCCTTTCAAGGTGGGAAGGTGTTTGGAATCCACTGGCCACTGACGTACAGGAGCGGTGATCTGTGGGTGGGTGTTGGCAACCATTGTAAAAGATGACCCATCAGTTGTGGAAAAGGTGACGCGGACAACATCGCTGTCAACTGATTTGCGTTTCTTACTGCCGAAACTACCGATCAGTAGCTTCTCCTGTCCAAGTACGGTAAACCTGGCTTTCTCTTGAAAGGACTGTGACACGAAGGATTTGTTTGAACCCGTGTCGAGGAGTAATCGGGCTTGCAGTGGTTGCTGTTCCGTACCATCACATGTGTTCATGTTGATCAGTGTGACAAGTGCTGTTTGCATGATTGTGTTGGAGGTAGGTGTACATGCTGTTGTACATGTTGAAATTTCATCTTGCTGCTGGTCTTGTGCTGCGACCGATGTAATGGTGTGTAGTGTGTTAGTGGGTGAAGCAGCTACCCTAGAAGATTGTGGTGAACTGGCGTCACCTGCGGCTGGACCAAACTTGTCCGGGCAGAGACTACGATGATGTCGATAACTTCGACAATGATAGCAATAACGAGTGCTTTTGCAAGAACCAGTGCTATGGCCAGCGCCAAGACAGAGAAAGCAGTGGCCCTTTGCTTGTTTTTTCCGTGATTCGATGTCAGGGTACTCTTGGCACTCATCAGAAAAATGCGATTTTTTGCAGAACACACATTTTTTGGCGGTGGATGAAGTTGCCAAGACTTGGGCTGACGAAGTGATCGGGTCACTGACTCGGCTACTGGAGGTGAAAGGACCTGAGTCGGAGCGTTGCTGCGATGATTGTCGGTCGGCAGCTTCATGGGCTACAACATACTCTCGAAGGTGAGTGCATAAGCTGGTCACAGTCCAATCCAATGAGCCCTTCTTTAGCTCTAGCTGTGCCAATGTGTGACGTGGCAATTTGTTGGTGATAATGGATATAAATATTGCCTGAGTGATGTTTTCTCCTAGGGCTTCCAAGCTGCGCATGTGGATATCCACCTGATCGATCAAGGCACGAAGTGATGTTGTCTGGTTACTGGCTGCCTGCAGATCCCGCAGTGCAGTGTAATGTGCATTTATGCATGTTTGCTTTTTACCGAAACGATCAGATAACAGTGTTTCGGCCACCTTGTAATTGGCACTGGACAAAGGCAAGCCTGCAATTGTATCGAGGGCAGGACCTTCTAAGAGACTCTTTAGGTAGGAGAATTTCTCCACGTCCGATAGGTTACGGGCAGCAATCGATGCTTTGAACATGTCGCTGAATTCAAACCACTTAAGTATATCTCCAGAGAACTTTGGGATGTGCAACTTTGGCAGGTTTGTGGTATGCTGTTGAGGTGTGCTGCTGCCTGGCGTGTTCTGTGTTAGAACTGTCGACTGGCTTTGCTGTATGTATTGCTGTTGTTGATTTGCCATGGCTGTTTGGGCAGCAATGAACATCTGTGTTTGCTGTTGTGTGGTTTGGCTAATTTGGATTAGCTGCTTGATTTGCTGTTCAATTGCATCGGATTGAGTGGCAGAACTGCCGTCAGTTCTAGGTTCAGACTTGACACGAGTGGATGGAGTACTCTGCGAGGACAGGTGAAGAGATCGTCTGAGTGTTTGAGCTGTTCTGCTCCATAGGATTGAGTTGTCTGAATATGACGAGATCTCACTCATTCTGTCCTCCTCAGAGTCCTCCAGATCCAATGATTCTAATGCGCTAGCAACATCTTCACAAGCATCATCATATGCACATAAATCTAGTTGCACAACTTCTAACAAATTACTTAGCTTTTGTTGATATTCGGAAACAGCGCGCGCTGAGTCACTATCGTCACTGTCACTGGTCGTCGTTTCGATTTCTCTAGCGAGCACCTCAGCATCTACGAGACTCTTCTCGATGTCGGTTTTCAACTTGCGTAGTTTACTCCGACGTAAATAGAGGGTACCAGAAAACTTAGGTCCTGGCATGATCCCGGGTTTCGGCACCAGTTTGTAGCCGAGACGTTATAATGTCAAACTGATTTTGATTGGGAGAGCATATCGGCTACAAGAACACTGGTATACTGTTGACTGCTGTAATTGCTGGTTGCGGACAAACCAAACTACGTGGCGACCACCATGAGGTCTAAAGGAAAGAATAAAGAAAGTGGCTGTATACCACAGCTAAACCAAAGCGTGCGCGCAGGCAGTAATGTGTATGCGCCGGCGGTAATGTGTATGCGCAGCAATACACCAAATACACAAACGACCAAAGCATGCGCGCGGGCTGAAATGTGTGCGCGCAGCAATACAACAAATAGAATACACCAAAAGGGGGTAAAGGGGTTACAAACTACGTTTCTGTATTCGAAGTGTAGGCGTGAAGTATGCAGAGCAGCGTGCACGGAAGTCAATGCTGAAGGTAACGTAACTAGCTTCCGTGGCAATGTAACTGTTCTTAGCACAACGACACAGACAGTGCGTATGAAGATCGCGCATGGAAGAGACACCATAAACAAGTGCCTAGTACAGGCTGAATAGTTACGGAATGCTCGAATGTGGGTTTTATCTATGTTTAGATTTAGAGCACTATAAGTGAGACATGTACGTATGTACAAACATACGTACGAGCGTGCATAGGTCCGATAATGGAATCTAGACATAACGGACACAGAACCATACAGGGCGCAGATCCATACAGGGCGTGGATCCATAAAGGGCACGGATCCTACTTTGAAGTATATGGGAGTTAGATAGACATAAGCGGCTGAATATATTACAACTATAGTACTGTACAAGAAGGATTCGCGAATGGTGGTGCCATTCGCGACAAAGTTGGTGCGATAGTGGAAGATTTGGTAGATTTTCGGTGATTCCCAAAGAAACTCTCCAAAATCGGCAAAAAGCTTAGCGATTTTTCGATAAGTGTCGTTTTCGGCAAATTTTTCGGCCGGCCGATTTGTGGATTTTACTAGTACTTCGAAGTAACGATCTTCCTAATGGCTAATGTTTGTTTGAGAGGAGGTCAAAAGACACGAGTCACACGACCTGAACGCACTAGTACTACAAGTACTGAAGTAGAGACCTCGAGCGGTCATGCTTGCAGTGACATCATTCGTTCGTAAACGCTCTTTGCAACAACATTTGGTAGATTTTCGGCGATTCACAAAGGAACCCTCCAAAATCGGCGAAAGGCTTAGCGATTTTTCGATAAGTCTCGTTTTCGGTGAATTTTTTGGCCGGCTGATTTGGGGAAACCTACCCCTACTATTTTGACCTGGCTAGAACCCTGGTGTATGATGTGTACATGTATGTATGTGTAGGGTACTCAGTATACGCATGAACTCCTAAGCAGTAAACACACGTTGCTGGGCAAAAGTTGGTCCAGCCATGGCCTGACCAACCGGGCTGGTTCTGCCGAGACTGGAAGAGCACTACAACTTCCCCTGTTGGCCGAAACATCCGAATCACCTCGCGGTTGGGGGGTTGAGACAACCCTCCCTCCCCCCCCCACCCACTCATGCCTTCATCCACTGCCCAGTGACATCCCTGTGATGTACTTGTATTGTGCTTGAAATGTAACTATAAAATACACCCAAAATCCAAACACACATTGATGTACAGTGACTTTCTCGGTGTACGTATACTGCCTGTTTATCTACTGCAAGTCTACAAATTGTCGGTACCTTTAAATTTCAGCCCCCCCCCCCCCCGGCCTAAAACACACATTTCGGCCGCATTTATTAATTGGGCATGTACTGCTGTTACCTGTATACACTGTCACCTCGAACCTGGCAAAACAACATTTTGGTCGCAACAAATTTTAGGCCCGAAATACATATGCGCCGACAACTGTAAATCAAAAAACTTTCGCCGGTGAAAACTTTCGCCGCGCCGATCTCCAAAAACTCTTTTCGGCGCCACTAAACTTTCGCCGTGGGCGTGCAAGAGTCCAAAAAAAGTGATTGATGTTTCGTGTGCACATGTACTAGAGGTATAGTAGTACAGAGGTCCGCATAGTTTCTAGACCCCTGTCTACTGTACGCATTTTTACAGAGAGTCCGGCGGCATAAGAGTGACCCAAATTGACATTTGGTTCTGGTGACACGTTTTGGTCGGCGATTATTTTTGGCCGATTGGCATCGACCGGCGAAATCAGAGAAATTATATCGCCCGCGAAAATTTGCTGATTTACAGTATTAAATTTTGCTGACTCACAGTATCTCTCTGTCTGCTCACCTAATTGTTCATCTGCCTTTCTCTCTTTCCGGCTGTTTTTCTGTTGTTTGTTTGTGTTTATTTGATGGTCATGCACAGAGTCAACCAAGCTCTGCTGCTACAGGACTTACCAGGCAGCTAGAGTCGATTTCACAGCAGCTATGCCAGCAAGCCTCATGCATTGCTGACATCACCACACGCAGCTCTGCAGTAGAGGACCAGCTCGGCACCATTGTACAGCGTCTTGGTGATACCCAGCTTGAAACCACCAGTATCCGCGGTCAACTGCGGACTACGAGCCAGCAAGTGACTGGGATATCCAACCGCCTGGAGACAACGAGCCAGCAAGTGACGGGAATGTCCAATCGTCTGGAGACAACGAGCCAGCAAGTGACTGGGATGTCCAACCGCCTGGAGACAACGAACCAGCAAGTGACTGGGATGTCCAACCGCCTGGAGACAACGAGCCAGCAAGCGACGGGAATGTCCAATCGTCTGGAGACAACGAGCCAGCAAGTGACTGGGATGTCAAACCGCCTGGAGACAACGAACCAGCAAGTGACTGGGATGTCCAACCGCCTGGAGACAACGAGCCAGCAAATGACTGGGATGCACGACCGTCTGGATACGACGAACCAACAGGTGACTGAGATGCGTGACTGCCTGCAGACTACGAACCAACAAGTGACTGAGACGCGCGCACAAGTCACTAGCCAAGCAGGACATGCAGCAGCAGTAGTTGCCACCCAGTTGACAGACCTACGTGCAGCCATCAGTGAGCAGTTCAATGAGACCAACCGAAGCGTGAATGACCAACTTTCACAACTTCGCTCATCACTGCAGGTAAGAATGCGGATACGCGTAATGCCGCGTATTAAAGAAGGTGCTTACGGCCGTATAAGCCTGGGTTCAAGGCATGCTTCTATTCAAGTGATGATTCTATTCAAACATTCTTCTACATCAACATCATCAGTCTACACTGTGCAGTGCATACTGCCACACAATCATGTACTGTGCAAGTACTTGCACGTGTATTTTGCAGAGAGCGTCTGCTAGTCGAATAATGCTTCTGTGTCATGGTGCGCTTCGAAAAACTGTCTTCTATTCGAGTCATGCTTTTATACGCGACACTACAGAATGCTGTTGGTCATCAGCATGTGTGTGTGTGTGTGTGTGTTTGTGTGTGTGTGTATGTGTGTGTGTGTTTGTGGGTATGTGTGTGTACGCGTGTGTTTGTGTGGTATATTGCCCTGTGCGTTTCAGGTCAGTGCGGGAAGTGACACTGGATCTGGACGAACGGCATCACTCGTCGGTACTAGCGGAAGGCACACTTTCAGTGCAGGAAGCATGGCCAACAGGACAACTGACATGTCTAGTGTAAGCAAATCTTAAGAAATAATGGCGGTAACCTTGGCGATTACTGTATAAGGTAGTCAGTAAAGAGGTTCAGCTGCACGCCATATTTGACGTGACGCGAAAGTTCAGCTCGCGTTATTTGGCGGTGGGTGCGTTGGAGAATAAGGCGAGTGACCTGCGGCTCAGGTCGAAATTTGGAGTTTTACGCCAATTTTCACGTGAAACGGCACATCACGTCAAAAACAAAAACCCATAGCTATCCTCTCTCTAGTGTTTGCTCCCACCCTGGAGCTTGTACTCATTGGCAGGTTCGATAGGCTTCGTGTGGGGCTCTGGACGACAGTCGAGAGTCAGAAATGTCAGGTTGGCGGGGAAAAATGAGAGCTCACTAGTGCGTGCTAACATCCTCCTTAGAAGCAGATCTTGCCCAGCACATCTTGATGGATGTTGACAATATTACATTGACAATGTGCATAACACAAAAGGCATGCTTCGCCTCAGCCCGTCCAACAATAATGTTGCTTATGTTTCACTCTTCGCGGTATGATGTAAATTTGTACGTGTAAGTGGATGCGTTGGAGTTTGCGGACAATAAGAACAGTCGTGTCTTCTTTATTTCTGTGTGTAGGTTGGTGAAAACTCTAGACAGCACTCTGCTGCACCCGCCGCACGTTCTCTGGCTCTGACGCCGGGGATGATTCAGCGAATCACGAGAGAGAGAAAGGTATTGTCAAATTTGTTTTCAATTTTCTTCTTCCTGTTTTCCCGTGTGTGAAAATCCATTGGTGCTTCGTCCCTATGAATATGTTCTATGCCTAGCACCTGTTAATATGAGTGCATGCAAGTACAGTGAAACAGCTGTCTAAGACGACCGCTCAAAGGACCTTCAAAATGCGGCCTCTGTTACCAGGTGGTCTCCTTATCCAGGGTCATTTGACTGGAAATAGCATCCCTTGGTCCTGGCTGCGGTGGTCTTCCAGGACCGGTGGTTACCTTACCCGAGTGGTCGCCATGACAGGCTTTACTGTATGTGCACGATGCAGGATGCCACGAATGTATTGTACGTTGTTCTAAAGATCACCCAGCTATAGCCACCGTCTTTGGTTGTACAGTGGGGAGGTCGCTTAGACCAGGTTTTATTGTACTTGAGTATATTTCCCTTGGCACATATTGTTCATTACACATGTATGTACGTATTTTCTGATTGTTCCCTGGGTGACTGCATGTGCTGTTCTGTGTTGTGGCTGTGTGTATGTTCTCCAGTGGATCAAAGTACCTACACGATCTCATTGTGATGGTGGGTGTGAACTCATCAACCACCAGAACACTCTCGTGGCTGTCTGGAAAGATCGGAAGGGAATCATTTCAAGCATCGCGCAGACTACAGATATGCGTCACTGGACTGACCTTCCCCTTCCTCATCATTCTGGTCCATTCAAATACCCGTCCTTGGCAAGCACTGGTCAGGTTTTGTACATGTATTGTTATGACAATCGTGATCAAGCTGTTCTACTGCAGTACACCCAGCGTGATAGGCAGTGGGTGGAAGTAGCAAAGGGTCCAAATCAGCAGCACTCGGGGTGTGTTGTTCATGCTACGGACACTGATGTTAGTCTTCTAGGTGGCTACAACTTTCAGCCAGGATCCCTGCCTTCACCTTTATCACCAGCCAACAATGTGAGCTGTTACACATTTTCTTACAGGCAGTGGAACTCCTCTACTGCCAATTCACCTTCCCCACCTCCACTCCCATGTGACTGTAGGGATGCCTCACTTGTAGCCTGCCATGGTTCACTGTACATCATAGGTGGTTCTACTGGGTGTTTCCTCCAGTACACTGGTAATGGTCATTGGCAACAGGCTGTAAAACCAGATGGTGTAGACCTGGTGAATAGCCTTGCATGTTCACTGTCTGATGACAGTCTAGTCATAGCCAGTGCCCGGGTCACTGCCAGGTTCTGGATGCATACAAAGTATAGTGTGTATAATACACGTACAGGGTGTGTCTCTGACTTACCCAATTTAGAGACTGGGGGTTCTAGCCTTGAATCACTGGCAATACTCAATGGAGTACTGCTACTAAGTTCAAGAAATGGCAATCTTTACACCTTGGATGTTAACCCTTTGAGCCTGGATGATGTACAGTGAAACCGTTTTAGGACGAACACCCAGGGACCTTTGGTATTTGTTTGCAATACCGGAGGGACCTTTGGTATTTGTTTGCAATAACGAAGGGACCTTTGGTATCAATCTATTTTGTAAACTTAGAAGAAAAGAGGACCAAAGGGCACTTCTTATAAATGAATCCTTCCTTGGCTCTGCACCTGAGTCTAATCATGTTGTTTACTTACTTCTTTTCACTAATGTTTAGTTGATGTTACTTGATGTTTCCTTTGCAGACTTTTTTCTACTTTACTTTGAAGTACATGTACATAGTGATACAGTAGACTAACTTCATGTTCCTGTACATATCCATACTTACCATGACACTGCATTTCTTGATTTCTTACCTCTTGATCTTATCATGCTGTTTACAAGTTCTATTTCATCTTGGCAGTGATTGCCTGCTTGGTACACCTTTGACTGGATGACGTCATTGCTTGTTGTACCCATGACTGGATGAGCTCATTGCTTGGTATACCCATGACTGCATGAGGTCATTGCTTGCTAACCATGAATTGATGGGGTCATTGCTTGTTATTCATGACTGGATGAGGCAAATTCCTGTAAGTCTGCGGGTGCCAATATGTTGAAAGTGTTGTACATGCAAAGCCTGAAGTTTGGACAATGAGTCAATGACATACCTAGATATGAAAATGTATTATACAAATGTACAGTAGTTGTGAGGCATGCGACAAATGCACTTTTTGGTGTCTATTAGTATTACCATCCTCGATATGGGGACTGTCCCGGCCAAATCGTGATGATTGGCAGATACGTACTAAATGTACTTCAAGTACACGTACCGTTGTTACCAGTACTGATCACATAAGGATAATCAACAAAATTAAAATCAGAGTTTAAAAAGAAGAAATCACATGGAAACGAGTTATGAAGCAACCATCCACGACTGTAGCAAGATAATAAGCAGTCACAAAGTGCGATAACAGGGCATAAAACTGACATGCTACTGTCAAATTCACCGACCTGAGACCTAGCTCTAACACATCTGCAGTACGGAAACCAACAGCCTTCCAACTAGGAAGGTTCAAGGTCATAGTAGGACCAAACAGAAGAAAGAGCGCAGCGAACATGTGCACAAGCTATGTCCCACGGCAACAAAGAATGCCGACCGTCACAGGACGATGACGAGATGACATGACAATGTGGTCTAACAGCAATTCGAAGCAGCAAAGCAACACACCACCCGATTTGGGGGTGGCAGTAATATCAGAGATAACGGAACTCGGAAGTCAGTTTTGTGCCCTGTTATCGCACTTTTTAACTGCTTTTCTTTTTTTATCTTCCCACAGTCGTGTATACTGTATAACCGGAAAGTCTAACGTTTTAACGACCAAATATTTGTCGTTATTAGAAAACACGTTATCGGTGCATGTCTGTGTTAAAGGGGAAGTTAAGGCAAAAATTAAAATTTCACCAGTTGTAGTCTTCGGGGTGCTGAGTCGAATGGTCGTGGTCCGAGGAAGCTGAGACGCTCCCTTCCTACTTGAATCCCAATCGAACTCGCGCACTTCCACCGAAACTGGGTGACTGCGCCCTACTAGATGGGGATTTGTATGCAAAATGTCACTAAAAGCGCCATTTCGTTCTTATAAAAGCTCGGATGACCGCGATTGGCCCATATGTTGGAGTCTTTTGGACGCTGAATCGACTGGTTTTGGTTCGAAAAGGCTGCGATGCAGCGTTCCTCCTTTATTCCCAATCGAACATGGTTGAACAAGCGGTCACGTGCTCCTGCGTACGCCAGTCACCTGGTCACCGTGCCTGCAGGGTACAACTTACTAGCCTGTTTGACCTTTTTTGGGTGCAGTCCTGTCACTCGAGTTGAACCTTGGTGTGAAAGTTGTCGCCTGCTGGCGTGGTGACCAGGTGATTTGGGCACCCAGGAGCACGTGACCACTTGTTCAACCATGTTCGATTGGGAATAAAGGAGGAACGCTGCATCGCAGCCTTTTCGGACCAAAGCCAGTCGACTCAGCGTCCAAAAGACTACAACATATGGGCCAATCGCGGTCATCCGTGCTTTTATAAGAACGAAATGGCGCTTTTAGTGACATTTTGCATACAAATCCCCATCTAGTAGGGCGCAGTCACCCAGTTTCGGTGGAAGTGCGCGAGTTCGATTGGGATTCAAGTAGGAAGGGAGCGTCTCAGCTTTCTCGGGCCAAGACCATTCGACTCAGCACCCCGAAGACTACAACTGGTGAAATTTTAATTTTTGCCTTAACTTCTCCTTTAAAATGCGCATACAGATGGGCGCTCTGCATAAGCGAAGCTGTGGACGCAGCATACTGCTGCTACACTTCAACGCGGGAATGCGTATAATAATAATAATAATACAGATGGGTGACCAGGTAGCCATCGTTAAACTTTCTGCACGTAATCATGCCAAAATTACAAAAACGTTAAACGTTTTGGTCGTCAGACTTTCCGGTTTTACAGTAGTTGCTTCATAACTCGTTTCCATGTGATTTCTTCTATTTTTAATTATAGTAAATGGCTCAGTATCCGGGTTAATTGGATTACATTCGGTCTTTGATCCGAATTCACGCTTTTCTGCGAGGCAACTGATGCCAGCATGGGTCAGTGTTATACATAATACGGTCGTCCCTTCATCCAAATTCACTCCAACATATAAAAAAAAAGTAAGCTTGCAGGTGATGGCCCTGAGAGAGACGAGCGGCTTCTTGTCAACATAATTTGGACTAGGCGAAGCAGTTTCCGATTGACGTACCGCCAGTATTGCTGGGTGAGGGGGAAGCACTGTGCCGGATCCTCTTTGTTTCGTAATGAACCACTCAATCAACATACTAGTAGACTACTTCGGATTCTGTGCGCTTCAGAGATGCGGAGGACTGCTCACCACGACTTCTTCGGCCACGTACCCAGTGGCTTCCGTGACGATCTGATAGGAAGAATTATGAGTTCAGATGTAGCGGCTGGTGTTTTCAGATCTGCCACTTGTTTGCTTGAATATTCTCGCTCCACATACATGTATACTGGCATACACAGAGACATAGACAGCAATAGCGACAACACACAAAGTGAAGGGTAGTTGGCCGCAGCCAGATGTGACTGGTGAGACTCAAAACTGACTGAAGAAGTCAGGAAAAGAAGCGACAACAAAGAACACACCAGATTCCATATTTGCAACTGAAAATATTTCGCGAGAAATCATTTCTCGCCTATCTCGAATACAGCTTCTTTTTGAATTATCAAATCCAAACGAGCACAAATGCTCAATGACAAGGCAACGAATACGTTATTGTGTTACAGGGAAGGGGAGTTGGTGAGACAATAATGAGATAGAAGAGAGAAACATCATGGACTTGTCTACTAGTATTCTGTGAGTCGGGCTGCGTCGGTCGCGAGGCTGTGGTTGCTACTGTACGGAGTAACCATGACGTGCTCAGTCTTCATTCGACCTTTGCAGGACAGCTCATTTCTCTAGTTGTTCACATCTCCAATAAACGGTCTTTTCTCTTTATCTCTTGACTTGTATTTACATATAGGTGTCTCCATAGGTTACTTGAGGAGTTTGGGTTGCCATGGCAAAGTTAGGCCAGCGTAATCGGCTTAGCGTCCATGATTGAGTCACCAAGAATCGGAAAGGACTTCGTATCCAGAGTTCACGGGTTATTATTATTATTATTATTATTGTGAAGTGTGTGGGTTACAGTGAGGGCTGCGTCCCACCCGCCTGTGTGGATTCACAGGAAGTGTGAGTTACGAAGTCTGAAGAAAATGTTGAACGGCCTCTGCTGGGATGACGACTACACCATAGCTCAGTGGTTAGAGCATCGCTGGCTACAAGCGAGGGTCCCTGGTTCGAGTCCTGGTGGTGACAGTCAATTTTTTCTTCAGACTTTTCCCGTTTGTCTCTTTCCCTCAAAACAGTTAATATTTTATGACTTGGGGCTCCCCGCGTGCTAGTTTGTACGTGAAGTGTTTGGGTTACAGTGAGGGCTGCGTCCCACCCGCCTGTGTGGATTCACAGGAAGTGTGAGTTACGAAGTCTGAAGAAAATGTTGAACGGCCTCTGCTGGGATGACGACTACACCATAGCTCAGTGGTTAGAGCATCGCTGGCTACAAGCGAGGGTCCCTGGTTCGAGTCCTGGTGGTGACAGTCAATTTTTTCTTCAGACTTTTCCCGTTTGTCTCTTTCCCTCAAAACAGTTAATATTATTATTATTATTATTATTATTATTATTTTCACTAGTCTGAGGGAAAGAGACAAACGGGAAAAGTCTGAAGAAAAAATTGACTGTCACCACCAGGCCTCGAACCAGGGACCCTCGCTTGTAGCTAGCGATGCTCTAACCACTGAGCTATGGTGTAGTCGTCATCCCAGCGTAGACTGTTCAACATTTTCTTCAGACTTCGTAACTCACACTTCCTGTGAATCCACACAGGCGGGTGGGACGCAGCCCTCACTGTACCCACACACTTCACGTACACTCTAGCACGCGGGGAGCCCCAAGTCATAAAATCTTCACTAGTCTGAGGGAAAGAGACAAACGGGAAAAGTCTGAAGAAAAAATTGACTGTCACCACCAGGACTCGAACCAGGGACCCTCGCTTGTAGCTAGCGATGCTCTAACCACTGAGCTATGGTGTAGTCGTCATCCCAGCGTAGACTGTTCAACATTTTCTTCAGACTTCGTAACTCACACTTCCTGTGAATCCACACAGGCGGGTGGGACGCAGCCCTCACTGTACCCACACACTTCACGTACACTCTAGCACGCGGGGAGCCCCAAGTCATAAAATCTTCACTAGTCTGAGGGAAAGAGACAAACGGGAATTATTGTTATTATTATTATTTTTCCTATTTTGTTAGGGATTTCCCAACAGGCAATGTTGCCTTTTTACTGGGAACCCTAAATGAGACTTTGTGTGAGCGCGAAACAAAGCAGGCGACTCGGCCAGGCGACAAGATGGAGGCAGCGCATTCCACCTGTCGGCACCAAGATACGCAATTGAATGGAAACCATACCGGGAGTGGCAGGCAGGCAAGACAAGAGCAGCTGTAGCTTGGCCCCGGGTTGTGGCAGCAGAATGTGGGCCTGTGCTTCGCAGTGGCATTCTGTGACGGGGCCAGCGTTAAAAAGTATAATATTCTCGAAATGCACTCCCCAAATACAGGTACATATAATAGTATGTCAGCGCATAGATAGCGTATGTTCAGCGCATAATAATATAATTAAGCGGTGCAACCGCACAACAGCGAATTGCCACTCCATGAACTGACGGACTCGAGAGACGTGCGACGAAATATCACCCGCCTAGCTGACCAAACACCGTTCCACAGCTACATATTATGTTGCTAACCAAACCTGAGCTCACACAGGTTGCAGGATCTACATGATTGTAATAGGAGAGTGGTTCGTAAGTGGCAGCCTGGAAGCTGAAAAATCGTTTAAAAAATGGAACCATCATCCTTGGCCCGAGTCTCAAAGTATATTCGAGTTGCAGTGCTGGCAACTGAAATCCGAACCCTGAGTGGTGCGCTCACACTCGCAAAGACCCAACACAGGATGGTAAAACTACGAAATAGAGACCGCTAAAATGTGAACTCAGGGGTCGGATTTCAGTTGCAAGCGGTGTATTTTTTAGCTATTCGCGCTAACTCGTCACTATTCACTCCGTACTGAATCGATTGGTAGGACCAAGGCGAAGAAGACAGAGTTCGTTGTATTCGTCCAGATTGAACTTCAGTTAGCGGTAATACCGTACATACCCAGTAGCAGGTCCTACATGTATCTAAATTCTGGACGAAATACACGAATGTGTGTTCGCTGTTGATGGTTATGGTTAGGCCCTCTATATGCTTCGTTTTTACTTACATTCTAGGTCCTCAGTGTTTGTTTGTTCGAACTGATAGAAACATCTTTGCAATACAAAACATGTGCCCGATAATCGTATTGCAATGCCGTTTCTATCAGTTCGAATAACACTGAGAACCTAAGTAAAAACAAAACATAGCGAGTGCTCCTGGGCTTTGAAGCCATTTTGTATTATTTGCTAACTTTGCATTACAGCAAAAAAGAGGACTAAAACAATTTTCGTGCACTGGTAAAAAAAACTGGTACAAGCCAGTGCTGTGCGTAAAGAAGAAAAAAATGTTTCACCCTCCAACTGATAAGGTGTGATTGTGGCGCTTTGATTGTCCTCCGCACATACATTCGTCCCCTCTGGTCTTGGCTTTTTGCTGATGCTGAGATGTGATTCCCAAATTCATGCTGCCGGCTGGTGAAACATTCCCACTATATACATGTGTATGTAGTTCAAAGCTTTGTGTGGTATAATATTATCACCCTTTGCTTCGCCTTTTTCACTTTTATGTCATTTTTGTCCATATATGAGTAGCTTCAAGCAGTCTAGTCCCCGATCCATTGTTAGGTAGATTCATTGATAACCATAAAACAAGAACACAATTCTGAAGAAATCCTTCACGTGTTTCTCCTTGTGTGGCGTACAACCATCGTTTCACATTTTACTCATGCATGACGACAAATAGGAAATGATTTCAGCGAAATTAGTCCTCCTTGTTGCTATATCACGGCAGCTGTGTCCGAAACGTTAGCTCGAGCATTCATCGTGTTATTTTTCCCGCATAAGAGGCTTTTTAGTTTTCACCGTGTATTAAATCTTTTGTCCACAGAGAGACGGTATTCCGGCACACAATGCTTCATTTCCTAGACAATTTATTGAAAAATAATTAGCGGTTGACTGTTCTGTAAGCAGAAAAGTTGGTTTTTAGCTCATGACTCCAGCTCCTCATTAATCTTCAGAACTACTTGCCACGGGCTGATTCGCTCAACAGGGTTAATGCGAAGAAGGTGGCTGACCAGGACGTTACCGAAGGGACAGAGGTCGTTGTATTCCTCCCCCAGGAATCTCAGCTGTGTACCATAGCTGCTAAGCTTACTTTCACTTTTGGCGAAAAACGCGTAATTGGGATCGCTGTTGGAGGCTTTGGGCCATGGCGGCTTGTCGCATCGCGTGAGAACGTGCAGGACCGTGATGCCGAAGGCCCACATGTCGAACGAAGGCACGAGGGGTACGCGTGCTCTTGATGCAGCGTTTACGATCTCTGGGCCGGTGTACTTCCAAGTATTGCCAAACCCATGTCCTGCTAGTACAAGTTTTCCGGTGGCCTTTGCCGAACCAAAGTCGATGAGTTTGGCGCGCAGGGTGCGTCCATCGCCTCCGTCCTCTACTCGTTTCACTCCAACATTGCCCAGCTTGATATCGGAATGGACAATACCGCGTCTGTGAATGTAGTCGAGTCCTTTCGCCACATCTTGACACAGCACGAGGCGATCTTCGTATCCAATCTCGGTCATGGCTTTTCCGAGGTCTCCACGGTCGAAGTACTCTATCTCGGTGCACATTACCCCGGCACTGGGAATATCGTACATGACCTGTAGAGTGCTGGCGATGAACGGGCACGCGTCTTTGGCCAGGAACATATGCGTGGTGAGCTCACCCATGAGCTGCTGCCATCGAATTCTCCTCCTCACAGCGCCTTCCTCATACTTGAACATCTTGAGCGCATGGATGCTGCCACTGGTAGTGCTCTGAAGTGGACAGACCTTGGTGCGGTCACTCTCGAAGATGGTGATGCCGACGTCCGGGATATCGCTGAGCGTGGTCACCTGAACGCTGTCCTGTAGCCTCCCGATTGTGGATGCAAGCTTGGAGGCATCAGGGCCCGTGAACCGACCCTTCCAAGCGGGAACTTTCGGGCGAGACGGCGGCTTACTTGGTGTCGCCGCTACTTTCATTCTAACAGAGTGCTCCTCCCCTGTTGACGAAGAGCGCTCATCGTCTGCCAAATCGCTTTCCAGCGCCTTCCTCATGCTTGAACATCTTGAGCGCATAGATGCTGCCACTGTTAGTGTTCTGAAGTGGACGCGCGATGCTGCTTCCGCAACTACCGGCGCTGCTGCCGTCGCAAAAGGCGTTGCAGTTTCAGCTGGAACACGGAGACTCTCCGATGGCGAAGAAGAGGAATCCGCCATGTCGGCTTCTGGAAAATAAAACTGAATAGAAATTAAACCTGCCACATGAACGCAGTGAAAGACTTAAAATCATTCCGATCAGAACCACGGGAGTGGAGCTAGCGCAAGCTTTAGAATTTAAGCGCTTTCTGAGCACGTCCACTGTCCTGTATTTTCAGCCGGTGTGTATTGCTACTTGTACGTACCACTGTACACTCTGTTCTACCATACCACACCGTGTTCCCAGGACGCGTTCTTTACGTTAAGTCTCGTGTATATGCTCTGTGTAGCGGTGCCCCCTATACTACGAGACCTATGCAGACAAAACACGTCATCTGGACTGAAGTTGAAAAGCAAAGGAGCGAGAGGGCTTGAACACCTAGAGTCTTCCATATGCTTTGCTGTTACCTAGGTTACACAAGAGGGGGAGCGCATTTTGTTTCTCTCCTTTTTCCGACATCACCGTTTATACTTCGCAGTTGTTGTTGTTGTTGTTGTAGAAGTTTATTTAACGTCGCACCACAAACAGGCGATTTCGCCTCCTTTGATACATGTGGACGACAGAAGGAATGAGAGAGAGGGGGGGACAGAAGTATGGAGAGAGGAAGGGTAGAGATAAATAAGCAATCAACCTCAGGGCTACACCAAAGCAAAAACGGAATGGGAACATACTATATACAAAATAGCTTCATACATATATTGCAAAACACGTTTAGCAGTATCCTCTTGACGTGCACTATATGTTTGTTTCCCCGCATGTCCTTTTGTATTGAGACGGCTTTCCCTGGAGAGTGTCTCATGAAATTCGATTAGGAACAATTTGATGTATATTCAGTCTATTCTTAGTATGTCAACAAGAACTACACGAGTCACAGAGTACCACGCGTCTGGATTGTTGTAACTAAAAGTTTCATGCCAGATGGCAATCTTCAGACAACTGATCTCAGCAAGAACTATGTATGTATTTTTGAAAAGGCGGCGATGTGACAACAGTTTCAAGATTCCAATAAACAGCCCCAACTAAAGCGTCTTTTCACGATGGCTTTATTGAGTTTTCACGAACAAATTCTGGAGAAAGTAGTGATAATAATAATAATAATGACAGTTTGCATATCACTCATTACATAAGGTCAACGCACCTGATCTGTTAACAATTTCAAGCCAAGCAGCTCTATCAGAAGCAGATTGCACAGCATCCTGAAGCGACAGATTAATGCATTGTAAGTCTTTCTTGACAACGTCGATCCATCTCAGACGTGGTCGTCCTCGGGGTCGTCGTATGTCTGTTGTGTTGATTGACATTAGGAGGGCTTGGGAAGAGGACGATTCTTCGCCTTCCCTCACTACATGGCCGAACCACAGCAGTCTCCGTTGCCTGCAGACTTGGGATAGTGGGGTCTGCTCGGTTCTGGCATACCAAGAGTAGTGATGGACAAAGAAAAAACTATGATGGAAATGTAATGTGAAGAACAATAAAAGGAACAATCAAAAATTCAAAATTTTGGAGAGCACAACGACGACGAACGCAACACAGTGAGCGGCACCGCGCTGGGTGAGCATTTTGCAGCCAAGCATGCATCTGAACCATTACCATTTTGAGCAACGGCCTTCTCGGGTATCCGGGTTCTTGGTTCTGAGCGTAACCGCCCCAGGAGGAGGATCCGAGAGGCCATTAACATCAGGGAGCGATCCCCGAAAATCAACAACAACAGTGGCTGGGACCTGCTATAACACCACCTGTGCGGCCATATTAGCTTTTAGCATGCGTTCTGGGTGATACACTCGCGGCACATGCGTGTGGGCAATGCATGCCTTCACGTACCTTGGCTACCACTTTTTATGGAGTATGCTCTTCCACATTCTACCATGGTCTACATAATCTTTCTTACTCAGCCACCTACAGCATCGTGCATGGGATGTTGTGGTACTGACCTGTGCGTTCTGCCGGCATTGAATACAATTGTTATTTACTGCGAGTGGCGCGGGGTTCTCCACACCTCACTGGAGGTGTGAGCTTGGAACTGTGCTTGTTTCACTGCTGTAGCGCAATGTATCTACTTTCCTCGCCGTTTGTGCTTGTGTTGTCATGTACATTATAGCAATGCACTCGCCACGATGTGCTTTGCACTTCTCTACGCGCGCTGCCACTAGGTACTCCGCTTTGCTTCCTTCTGTTATCCTGCTGTTTTTTCTATGTCCACTTCATTCTTGATGATGGTCATGAAGACTGAAACGTTGAAACGATACATCTAATGGATTTGTGTGAAATGTGCTCTCTTGAGTGTAGGCAGGTTGCCTGCAAACCTTTCAAATAATAAAATTATTGATTGCCACCTTTCACATACATAGTATCTTGCAAGAATACTTTGTGATATATTCCTCGCATTGTTTAGGTGCTTTTAATCAATATGCATCCTTTACAATGGTCCGTGCTGCAATTTGTTGGAGTGCACATCCAATAGGTGCTGGAGCTGATAGCCAGTTAGTTGTAGACGGTCAGTACCGTCGGTCTGTGTGGGGCAATATTATCGAACGAGCTGATTGTTTAGTACAGCTATTGTAGCTATTGTAGCTATTGTAGCTATTGTAGTATCGGAGGTGGTAGTGGAAATTTTAGCGTTGCCTGTAGTTCTTTAGTTTTTTCCTTCTTTTCTTTAACAATGTCCGCCTCGCTAATATTATTCATTGAACTACTGAAACCATTGTCGCAGCATCGCTTAAACAAACGGCGAGGAGACAATAATTAATTTTGATAACCGCAATCAATAGGACAAAGCATACACAAATGTCGATTCAGCTTGTCTGATTAATTGCAGCACCGTTTATTCATAATATTTATTACATAGTTCTGAACAGTCACAGCTTTGTTGTTTATCGTTCATAAGGGTGTCGTTTTCTAAAAACATTTTTACTTGAAACCACGCACCCAATTCGTAAAACAAGAAAGAAGGACGAAATGACAAAACAACAGACTAACAAGACATTACTTTATAGCTATGCCAGCAAAACTGTGTCATAATGCTACTTACACAGACAGAAGAACGAGCAGTTGTATTTCGTAAAGCTGAGTTTCACGAACTGAATCGATCATCGCACCAACTTCTTTTGAAATACATACACGTTATGCTACTTATAAGGCTGCTGTTGCTCCTTAATGCCATCAACTAACCAGAATATCTACATAATAGCAGGCATGGAAAACAGCTTGGTTTGTATAGCCTTGCAGCCTTGTTGTGTTGTTCTTCGTACATGGCATAGGAAATGCGAGAAGGCCGCTATTTGTTATGCTGCTCTTGCTCCACAATGCCAGCCCTGCGGAAAGCATCTACGACATCCTTTTTCCTGCAGATCTATCTTTAACATATTCAGTTACCTTCGGTGACTTCTGTCAGTCGTGATTTTTTCTCCTCCCTCCCCATTACTATTAATAGTATTATTATTAAAATTTTTCATGTCGCTCACATGTATAAAAGAAGGCGCCATCGCCTGTTTGTGTTGCGACTTTAAATAAAATTCAACAACAACAACAACAACATCCCAGTGTACATCAGCTCGACGCTTGATGTCATCATCAGGGACAGCAGAAGACACACATGGGCCCTCAAGCTCTGCAGCACGATCCATATTTCTCCCAGCTGGTGACCAAATCCTTTTTCCTTTTTAGAGCGTGACGCTCGGTTTCGACCAGCGATTGGATTATGCTCTTCTTGGTCTGCAAAATCATACTGATACGCATTGCAGTACAGATTTCCCAGCAATGTAAAGCACGTCTGACTGCAAACTCCCTAGGACGCAGCTGACCAGATCAACGTGTGGGTTCTCTTCACTCAGTATAGTCGCGTCGAGCGAGCTGTAACTCCCGGTGCGGAAAGGCGAGCTCGGGGCGCCTACATGGCTACGTCCCCTTGTCTAACCCCCAACACGAAATGATAGTAGCCGACTGGCCAAAAAAAGGAGGCACTTGTTCTGAAATTCCTTCAGCCGGGTACGGGTTGACACTGGTACTCGTTTGGGTTGGTTGGATTCACCGCCTGTGACCGTAGTCCTCTTGCTACTCGGCGAAAGGTTTCAAGTAACACGTTAGTTGCTGATCGTTGTCTGGCTATTGCAGCTTGTTGTGCCCTGGGGAACGAACTGGCTATGTCCTCGATACCTGATTCACTTTCAGAATCAGAATGACTGGAAGCATCGTCTCCTTGGGACCATCATGGATAGTTGTCATTTCAAGGGGGTAGCAAACAATCATAATAATTATACAGTAAAACCTGGTGTAAGCGACCTCTCGTTTTGGCGACCACCTGCTCTTAACGACCGTTTTTCCATGTACGGACAGTTCACAGAAACTGTTGGAACTGGGTCTAAAGACCACCTGGCTTTAACGACCGCTTTTCCTTGCATAGTGGGATGGTTGCTTAAACCAGGTTTTACAGTTATACACAGAAACTGTGGGACCTGGGTCTGAAGACCACCTGGCTTTAACGACCGCTTTTGTTTGTAGAGTGGGGTGGTCGCTTAAACCAGGTTTTACTGTACACTCATAACTCTGCCTTGCTGTGGACACCGTTATACTACAGTCAGACTCGCAAGGATGAATCAGATTTCAAAAAGAGAAAAACTGGCGATGGCCGCGAAGGTCAGCGTCTTGCAGTCATAGCGGCAGTGCACCCGAGTGCGTTCTGATCAATATACAGCGATCAGTGATATACCAATGATATACAGTAGATCTACTATTGGTAGTGCCGGAGAGGACTCTGTTGACAGTGTTGTTTCGCTCGGAAAATGAGTATTAGACGGCGAACACTTCCATGTTTGAGTTTAATGCAATTTTTTTGCAAAATGTAAGGTTATAATGATTGCATTACGCTCCTTCCAAATCACATACTTCAGCGCTACATGTACATGTAGTGATAATATTATCCGCCCAGGCCTAGCTCAAACACATGCACGAAGCGCAAGTTTACAACCTCACACCGCCCAGGCCTAGCTCAAACACATGCACGAAGCGCAAGTTTACAACCTCACACCACCCAGGCCTAGCTCAAACACATGCACGAAGCGCAAGTTTACAACCTCACACCGCCCAGGCCTAGCTCAAACACATGCACGAAGCGCAAGTTTACAACCTCACACCACCCAGGCCTAGCTCAAACACATGCACGAAGCGCAAGTTTACAACCTCACACCACCCAGGCCTAGCTCAAACACATGCACGAAGCGCAAGTTTACAACCTCACACCACCCAGGCCTAGCTCAAACACATGCACGAAGCGCAAGTTTACAACCTCACACCACCCAGGCCTAGCTCAAACACATGCACGAAGCGCAAGTTTACAACCTCACACCACCCAGGCCTAGCTCAAACACATGCACGAAGCGCAAGTTTACAACCTCACACCACCCAGGCCTAGCTCAAACACATGCACGAAGCGCAAGTTTACAACCTCACACCACCCAGGCCTAGCTCAAACACATGCACGAAGCGCAAGTTTACAACCTCACACCACCCAGGCCTAGCTCAAACACATGCACGAAGCGCAAGTTTACAACCTCACACCACCCAGGCCTAGCTCAAACACATGCACGAAGCGCAAGCTAACAACCTCACACCGCCCAGGCCTAGCTCAAACACATGCAACAAGCGCAAGCTAACAACCTTACACCGCCCAGGCCTAGCTCAAACACATGCAACAAGCGCAAGCTAACAACCTCACACCACCCAGGCCTAGCTCAAACACATGCTCGAAGTGGAAACTAACAACCTTCCAAGTTGGAAGGCTCAGGTGCGGAAAGTTCCAATGAGAGAAAGGGAAGGACACGAAGATGTATACGAGCTATGTCCTCTTAGCTAGGTTCTCGACGGTTCATCTTCGGTTGGCTACCCCTCTCTATGTTCTTTACATACCCTTGAGCCTCCAGAGTTGGGTGATCAGGAACTAGCTTCGTCGAGGTGTAGTTACCTTACTCGTCCTGTCATCATTATCCTGTATACATGTGCATGTAGCGTTCTACATTATTTTGTTGCTGAGGGGCATGGTTATTATTAGTTACTGAGGAGCATAGCTATTATTTGTTGCTGAGGGGCATAGCTATTGAGTTGCACAAGTATACTCCCTGGATCAGAGCCACAACCAAAACAATGGTCATGGGCAGAAAATCCAAAGAAGAAGGAATTTATTTTTGTACGTTGTGTGTTGCTTACATCATCCGTACTCTGTATACATTCTACATGCACATGTAGCTTTGAAAGTGAGGGCTTAGCTTCTGATATTTATTGTAAGTCAAGGCGGTGAAAGCTAGACGTCAGTGCTGGCGTCTAGGCAGAATGTACGGTAGTTCTTCATCCAACACCTCGACAACGGCACGGGCGCAGAAGCGTCGTTCCGGGTCTATGCGGAGTAGGTTCGTGACAAGGAAATTCACGAAGGGCGAGAGGTGGTTGAACTCGTCCTTCGAGAACCTCAGGGAAGGCGGTTCCAAGCGGAACGACTGTGGCCAGATGGCAACGAGATGGTGAAAAAAGAAGTCGAAATCCCGGTCGGTCAAGGAGGCTAATTTCCACGGAGGCTCTTGATATTGCGACATAGCGCACACTGTCAGGACCCCGAAGGACCACATGTCGGTGGCTGCACTAAGCTCAGTGAGTTCACCCGGCTTTCCGCAGGTTAATTCCGGACAAGTGTACTGCCATGTGTTGCCGATGTGTCTTCCAGGTCGTATCATTTGCCCTATGACTTTGGCAGCTCCGAAGTCGATTAGCTTTGCAATGAGCTTCCTATTCGGTCCAACATTCACGCCGATATTCTCCATTTTGAGGTCAATGTGAACAATTCCCAGTGAATGAATGTAACGGAGACCCTTCGCTGCATCTCTCAGCAGGCGGAGGCGTTCGTGCGGCGGGACGCTGGCGACTACTTCGAACAGGTCACGCTTCGGTAAGTACTCCATTTGGAAGCCGTAGCTGGAGTCATGCTTGAAATGATAAAGGCATAGTGGATTTGCAAGGCGCGCGATGAACGGGCAATTGTCGTCCTCCACTATCCTATGAATGACCATTTCACGCAGCAGTCTGTCTCGGCTGCGTATGCGATCTTCTTCTTGGTATCTATGCTGCTTGATCACCGTGAGCTTACCATTCTCCCCCTTTGCTCTGACCAGGCATATTTTCGTTCTGGTCATGTCCCACAGGTTTCTCTCAACTTGGAAGTCGTCGTGAATCGAGCCCGTATACACTTGCGTAATGCCTCCCATCTGTGACTTAATTTGATCCGCCAGCCACGAGGCGTTCGTGTTTGCGTATACTTCGGGTATGACCGGTTTCTCCACAGTAACGGTGAAGGGCGCAGATGCTGCTCGAGCCGCACCGCCCTGCTCCGCTGCAACAGGAGCGACGCTTGCCTCTTCGACAGGTGCGGGTGATTCAGTCGACGTCGGGGCGTACACTTCGGGTATGACCGGTTTCTCCACAGTAACGGTGAAGGGCGCAGATGCTGCTCGAGCCGCACCGCCCTGCTCCGCTGCAACAGGAGCGACGCTTGCCTCTTCGACCGGTGCGGGTGATTCAGTCGACGTCGGAGGAGTTACAAAAACGTCCTCTTCCGAGGTCGGAGGTGTTACCAAAACGTCCTCCTCCGAGGTCGGAGGTGTTACAAAAATGTCCTCCTCCGAGGTCTGAGGAGTTACAAAATAATTCTCCGACTCGTCGGGAAACCATGCCAGTCGCACTGCCGCCATTACCCCACCCATAGTTGCAAAGCCAGGGACCAGTTGCAACCTTGGAATATTACACTAGAAAATAGTTTTTGCCAATCTCACTTAGCCAAAAGCATTCGACCACAGTGGCAGAAGTTGAGGTAGCAGCAGATCAACGCTTTTAATGCTCATTGCTATGGCTCCACCTTTCCAAGTTGCTTTAGTGCATGCATCGTACGCGAATCCTATGCAAAAGCGAGCTGCAAGGTACATGTATATCGCACACCTCTTTGTATGAGGCCCTATAGTGCCGTAGCCGCTGCATGTTACAATCGACCGTAGAATAGTAATATTTGATCACAATAGAATATAGTACGAAATAGTGGTTGCGACTTCGGCGATGAGTTTTTTTTAGGATTTTTTTTAAAATTTCGGCCAGTCTGCTACTTGAAACTCGGATGCTACTATCATTATTTTTCGTCTTGGGGGTTAGACAAGGGGAAATAGCCATGTAGGGGCGTTAGCCCGCCTTTCGGCACCGGGAGTTGCAGCTCGCTCGACTTGACTCTACTGAGTGCAGAGGACCCACACCTTGATCTGGTGAGCTGCGTCGTGGGGATTTTGCAGTCAGATGTGCATTTTAGGAATGGGTTTGCTCCCACACTGTAGCTCACGACTGCCATCCACTGCCATTGAGCTTATGTAGGCTGAGGATTATTGTACCTGAAAAGCGGGCGTGCGACTAGCTGGTTTGGAGGTGACAGCGTTGTGAATGACCGAGGGTCCTCTACGTCTGCTCTCACCGTCCAGGAGCGACACTGATATTGTGACTCACGCTGCTATCTGGTGTTCACGATCTGTTTGTCGCGCTGGAAACGGTGTGTCTCTGTAAGTTTGTATCCCTGGTGATGTTTGTGCCTGGAGAGCACTACACAAGTGGTGCTCTTCAGGCACAATCTTCCTCAGCCTACTCAAGCTCAACTGATGAGGGGTGAATTCCCCTAAACACTGCGTATTGAGCAGGGAGTGGTGCTTTCTTGCAGGTTTGCCGAGTCGAAGGTTCGATGGACTTCTCGTGTTCTCTGGATGGCAGTCGTGAGTCAGTCAAGTGTCAGGTCAAGTCGGCGGAATGGCGTGAGCTCCAGTGTGGGAGCAAACCCATTCCTAAACAAAATCATCGCTGGAGTCGACTTCGATGATAAGTGTTTTAGGAATGGGTTTGCTCCCACACTGGAGCTCGCGCTACTCCGCCGACTTGACTTGACACTTGACTACTCACGACTGTCATCCAGAGCACACGAGAAGTCCATCGAACCTTCGACTCGGAAAACCTGCAAGAAAGCACCACTCTCTGCTCAATACAAAGTGTTTCGGGGAATTCGCGAGCTCCAGTGTGGGAGCAAACCCATTCCTAAAACACAATCGGATATAGTATACCAGTAAAAGTAAAACACAACAACACCAGTGAATACGAAAAAAGGTTTCAGAGCAGACTCGCTCTCTTCCCATTCACTCTGCAAAACTCAAACTCATTTCTCAATCAATTTTCACCATTTTTTACCAGTGAATACGTATAGGATATTGACCAATACGAGGTCGATATGGGAAATATACATGTAGTTGGATCATCATTATACCCAGCTTATATCTGCCCCACGCGTAGTCGCCGCCGGCAACTCGCATTCACTTTGCCCCGGGTAGAGAAAAACGCCAGGAGGTCGTTTCTCTTCTGCACTGATACCACCTGGAACGCATTGCCCACAGACCTGAGAGCCCCAGCATCGCAGTCCCTGTTTCCCAGTCACATTTGCACGCACTTTTCTGACACCAAACACAATGCCACTTTTCACTGACATGCCTCTGTCCTCCTTCTTTGAGCACTGCGCCTATTTTTCTTCTTTGTTTCTGTTTCTGTATAATTATTTAGTGTTTCAAGGCACACCCCGAGGCTATAGGTATTATTGAGTACAGGACAATTTGGGAACATTCAGCCTATATTATGCATTTTTTAGCCATCCACTGTCTGCTATCTCAACCCTACAGCATCCAGTATAATGGAACTCCCTTCAATTTAGACTTTGGGAAATCCTCAAATTATTATAATTATTTGCATTTCCGCGGCAATGTCAGCCGCACAATGGCAACCCACATATTCGCATATGCCGGTAATAAAATCCTCTGCCAAAAACATAAATCAAATGACATCATAATTATAATATTATCTTTTCTGTGTAATCCAGTCAAAAAGAACATACGACGGCATACCCTGCACGGTTCCTTGCCAGGATCCGGAGGCGCTGCAAGTCACCAAGTGACACAAGCCTTCCATTATTCGTTTTCGCAGGTCTTCCGACAGCTTCGTGACAATTGTGACACGTGGGCGTCCTCGCCAGGTCTTCTCATCGTGCGTGAAATACGCCGCCATTGCCAGTGATGCTGGGGTGTCCTCTGGCAAGCGGAGAATGTGACCAAAGAGTTGCCACCGCAGACGCTTGAGAATGTTGGTGATTGGCTCAGCTTTGCACCTGGCGTACAAAGAGACATTCTTCATCATTCTGAGGCCAACTAATGCCAAGGAGTGATCGCAGTCGCTGACGGTGGAAGGAATCTAGACTCTGCTCCAAAGCCACCGTCAGGCCCCATGTTCCGCCGTTGTAGGTCAGTACTGGTATGACAAACGCCTGATAGCGCCTTAGGCGCAGCTTCTCACTAATAAGCTCTCGTCGACACCACACAACAAAGAGTGACCTGAAAGCTGCTGTTGCGAGCTGCTTCCTTCTGATCACGTCCTGTTTATCACCCAGAAGTGACCGAAGCTTACGTGTCTTTCTCCAGACTTCCTCTAGACGATTCCCTTCTCTGCGTAGTGTGGTTTGCTCAGTTTTCTCTTCGTTCACTTTGAGATGCCATTCTCTGAGGACCCCAGTTATGCTCGGGCTGATACTGTCCAACCATGTCCGTGAGCTGCTCAGAAAATCCGTATCATCTGCATAGATAACTTCCCCAGGCAAGAGTTCATCAGCTGGTGGCCTGAAAGGTAACGTGGCCCTGAGATCACGTAGCGCTGATTCCAAGTAAATGAAAAAAGAACTGGAGATAGGCAGTCGCCCTGTGGGGTGCCGATCGTGGTCTCAAACTCCGATGACTGCTGCTTACACGCGAGCACAGATAGGGTTGTATTCGAAAGAAGCACTCGGATAAGTCGGACTTCATCCTCCTTCACGATGCCATTGACCACCGTGAGCAACTTCTCTCTTGATATTGTGTCGAATGCCTTGCTCACATCTATCCCGTGTATCTCGATGGTGGCATGGTACTTCTGGGTGATAGCGGCTAGCCAGTGATGCGTCCAGACTGCATCAGCCGTGGATCTGCCAGGACGGAAGCCACTATGGGATGCACTCAGATAACTGTCCACTGGTGGCTGGATGCGTCGCAGTGTAAGGAGAGAAAGGGCCTTCCTGGTTGAATTCAGCAGCACAATAGGCCTAAGATTTCCGGGAGGTCCCTTCTTTTTTTAAGGCTTCGGCAGGGGTATTAACGTGCCTTGTCCGAGTTCAATTGGATGATGCGTCTCAAACATGCCATTCAGGCATTGCGCCAGGGCTTATGCCAGCGTCTCACCTCCGTGCTTCAAACATTCTGCATTGACCCCATCGGATCCACAGGCTCTGTTGTTGTTGAGTTTCTTGATGCACGAATGCATTTCATGAGCTGAAATTGGGTTTTGAAGAGGTCGGGGATCTCCATGAAACGGGAGGACCGGTGAAGCATCTGGCCGGTTAAACTCTGTGTTGAAGTGGGATCTGATGATGTCAAGGGACTCAGTAGTGTTACCTACAAGCCTAACGTTGTCATCCTCCACCACCGACTGCTGGGTACGTTTCCTTGTCATTAGAGCAACTGCCTTGAACATATTTGCTCCGTCCTTCAGTTTGTCAACTTCCTCAGCCATTGCGTCCAGTCTCCTTTTCGCGTCCCTCTTGCATCTCTACCTAATTTCATGTTGAACCCCGTTGCGATCTCGCTTAAGCCTTGACCTTTCATCTCCATCCGGGGTGTTGATCCAGCTCAACCTGAGCTTCTTCTGATATTTTGATAGCTTCTCAATTCCGGGATCACTCGATTGTTTTATCGTCTTGGTTCTCTTTACTTGACCGACAGTGCTGTGTGCGGTTTTTTTAACAGCTGTCACGATGTCATTGTAGACTTCGTCACATGGCCTGGCATCGTCGCAGACGGGAGGTATGATGGAGGACAGTCTCTTCTGGTACCGTTTCTGCATTGCTTTGTCCTCCACGAGTCTACTGACATTCAGCGCCAGTCCTGTGGATGCGGTGCTGTGTCTTGCACTTGATGGCTGACATGCTCCAAGAACACCGTAAATCCTGGCTGAATCCAAATCCGCAACAACAAGCTTGTGGTCAGTGCTGATCTCCATTCCTCCGTAGCTCCGACAATTTTGCAGCATTCGCTTGTGGCATGAGCGGTACACAATTTAATCAATTTGGTTGAATACAGGCACTGTTTTCCCAGACTCTTCGCCATCCAGTCCACGTGGTTTTGTGCCTAGCAGCATGCTGGAAAGTGGCATTGGCCAGATACAGGCCATTGCTGTCACAGTAGTCCACAAGTGACTGTCCATTCACATTACGGATTCCTCTGCCATGACGCCCCACAGCAGTCTCGGCAGGTCTTCTGACTCCAGCTTAAGCGTTGATGTCTCCGGCAATGTAGAGCAGCGTGCAGCCTGTGACCTGCTCGTACGCAGTCGACAATGCTAAGAAAAATGGTGTCTAGCTCGTCTGCTGACTGTGAGCATTTTGAGCTTGTTGGCGCGTACACGTTGATAACGGCGATGGAGCAGTTTCCCCTCTCTGGCGTGTTGCCAGCATTCTGATATTACTGAAGAGTAAGTACCGCAACTCGGTCGGAAATTTGCCAGAAACGGTGAATCTTCGCAGCATAGGATGACGTTATCTCGAAACCCAGGCCGTAGTGTCGACATTCCGGCGGAATAAAGATGTGCCGATACCCGCCTC